ATTTTATGGATWCCTATATATTATACTCTATACAAGTATTTTTAATTCGTTAGAGTCTTGTAGTATGTAATAATAATAAATAATAGGTATGTTTATGTGTGTGTGTGGGGGGGGTAATTTATTTTTATATTTAATAATGTGTGAACATTTCAAAGAACATTTTTTTAGTATCAAATACTTCAAATTTCTCCGACCAGAGCCATGTTTCAAAACATAAAATTCTAATGATTATTTTCGAAAAAATCTGAACATAATATGTATTCGAAAATGGCCTTTTAAAAGTATACAAACTATTTGTATGTAATTAGCATTCGAACAAAGCCACACGACTATTTATTAACTATTATAGAGCATAAGGTGTTTTCATTGACATAGTCCATATTATATATATATATATATATATGTTTTTGGACTGAGTACAATTTTTACGAGACCGATTTTTATAACATTTTGTTTATTGCTATAAAAACACAAATAAAAAAAAATGATTTTAATACAATTCTAACAAAATGTATATAAAAGTAAATACATTTTTTCCATCATTGCTTTATACCCAAAAAACATCTTTGATTTCTAAATTTCCATTATAAAGGAAAATTAACATCTTGTATCAGCTGGTTTGATTTAAGCCCTGATACACGTAATACCTACAAATATATTTTTTAATGTTGTCACCTAAATACGTGGAGTATCCACGAAATGTTTTAGCTATGCATCACAGTATGTGACAAACACATCTAAATATGAAACCATATAATATTATAACGGGTAATCGTAAAAAATGAAATCCATTAAATAATTTAATGAAGGACTCTAATAGATCATAATAAGGAAATTGTGCAACTAAATATTTACCTTATCTTGGAAATGTATTCTTCTGTTTCTTTCATGATTTGCCGAATTGATTTTTATTGTTATCTTGTTTACAAACAATAGCGTGACCTATGCCTCCTGTGATGAATAACGTCCTTAAATAGTTAAATGTACAGAAGTAAAATAAATTGTCAACATTAACGATTTCTATTATTATAGACATATTTTGTCAAAATATTTTACTAGTAATTTATAATACTAATTGGATTTTAGTATAAATTTCGTGAATCAGCTTAAAAATATTTAAATATATACAAACATAAAACATAATGTCATAATGTACCTACTTTAAAATTATATTAAATTTTTGCAAGATAATATATGATAATAAACAATAACACAATACGATTTTGGTTGACAGATTCTAAAAGTAGATAAAACGAGAAGTGAACAATATTCATTTTTAAATAATTGTTGTATTTATATTTATTTGTATTTTTATGTACATATATATATTAATATTTTAATTTTGTTAGGGTCAACAATTAATTCAAAAAATTATGTTAGCAATATTATAGTAGAACATTGATGTAAAATAAAAATTGTTCACAAAATTCGATATTTATTATACTACAATAATATAAAATATAATATGCAACTATAATACTAGTCTTTACAAGTTTATACAATATTATCATATTACGTATACTATAATATTATACTATACTGTCTATTTKTATTATTCAATACAATAAGTCGGTGTCACTGTCACAAATTATAAATAGTTACTATGATCATAAATTATTTGTGTTAGTAATTAATAATTGTGACCAGTATTCACAATACTACAATTATTAGGTATATAACTAATCTACATTAAGTATTTAATAAATTATGATAACATTAATTACATTTAGGTCTGGTGCTCAACGCAGAAAATGTGCTTAGTACATTTGCGTCAGCGATTTGACAAAAAAAAAAAATGTATCTTTATTACTATTGACAAAAGATTACCAAAACAGTACAATGCAGCGATCTTATAAACTTTGTGAACTTTGTGTACGCTGAACATTTTAACACAAGAATATAAAAAATTATTTGACCATTTGAATACAGAGTACACACGTTTATTAATATTCAACACGGTATTAGTGGGGAGGATACAAGATATTATTAAATTTAATATTTTATTAAAACATAAAAAACTATGAGAAACTTTAATTCGCAACGAGACGATTATTTTAAACTAGCTGTATTGTTTTTTACGTTTGTGTGTAATACAACTTATAACAATCGGAAATCATAATGATAATGATAAAACTAGAAAATCGTCGTTATTTTCTATCATTTCTTTTAGTGAGTTTTGTTTTTATTTAATAGGTGATATGTATTGATACGATTCGGGTTTTAGATCGTTAATTATTAGATCTTAGTAACCTTGAGTTTTAAAACAATGTTATTAGATCATCGATTTTAGTATTAAGGTTATTATTACAATCTAGAAGCACACGCAATTATAAGTCTTCGGCGCACAATATAATGTGAACAATTATTTTCTACTTAAGTCTGAGTAGACGGTTTCTGTAAAAATAAGTTTTGAATTCATCGCCACTAAATCGATTGACATTATTCGTTTGTCTGGGTACCTCGGGCTATAAGTAGGCCTACATATTCAGCAGTTTTTTTTTTTTTTATTCCTCGACCGCAAATCAAAAAACAGTTCAAAACACCGTTGTGATGGCGATATTGAAGTATTTGAAGTATGTGAAATTAGCCAGCTAAGCAGGGTAATAAGTAATAAGTAATAACTAATAAACCAATAAGACGTAATAAGTAATAACTGTGAAATGGGATAAACAATTTKTTCTCGTTGCAATTTAATGATTGAATTTCTTACATTTTGTGTACATTTATTCTACATTGYGCGTTATAATAGTTACATAGTAATACGTCATGTTTAAATGTTGAATAAATGTGTTCGCACTAATAATCTTATAGCTATTAATCCTTAATTTACAAACTTGCTCATTTACAATTTGTCAAAATTATACTAAAATCTTTTTAAATATCAGTATATTTTGTTATCCAATACCTAATCAGTTCTTAACATTATTAATTTTGCATATTTTATAATGCACTATTGCAGTCAAAACTTGAGTAGGTTGTTACTAGATAATAATAATAATATAATATTTTACCTAGAAAACGCATCTTTAATCAAACAATTTTTTATAATAATACAAACACTTTTRCTTATTGTTTACATTATATAATTAATCTAAAAATATAAAAAAATATTTATTTGCTGCGATGACCTTGAAYTTCAATGTGTTAACATTGTGTTTTTTAACAAAGGAAATGCGAATTGTGTCAATCCTTATTGATTTAAAAAATTTTAATATGCAACATGAATCAAGGGAGTAATAAATTGTTGTTTATTATTTTATCTGAATACTTGTATTACAATGTCAGAATATTATATTATTAGAAAAAAAACCGAAAATTGTATGATATTTTACAATCAGGTCCATTTTGAACTAGTATTTAATCGTTTTTAAACGTGATTTAAAAATAACAAATTAGTAATAACGCAATATTTTTTGTACGTATTCAATTAATGTTCAATGATAAAAAAATCGTCTCCCTGCAACACACACATAGATATGCAGTAAGTATAATACTATTGAAACAACATTATTATTGTTGTCATTAAAAATTGGTAATATAGGAAGAAAATCACTTAAAAGTCTGACGGAAAACGCCGACGACGATCCCGTGATCGTGTGTAAACAAAAAATATGTTACGCGTGTCATTTTTCCTTTTCTTTTTCACTTCATTTTAGGCACCACTCCAGTTTGAATATTCAAATATTGTTGTGTGTATAATATATGTGTATGTGTATAGCATCCATGCGAGAGAAAGAGAGCAGAGCTCGCTGCGAGAGAGACGAAAACACACACATACATATATACATAAATACGAAAAGTCATAAAAAACAGGATACTCAAAACACATACGCATACACACACATGCACATGCACATGCGATATGCGTAAACGCACACACACACAAACGTATCCGCGTAGGACTTTTTCGGAGTAGGAGCAGTGCACACACACACACACACACACACACACATTCTCGCCTGGAGAAAGATAACGTATGGTGAATTGTACGTACATACGTAATATAATATACAGGGTGATCCAAAAGCACGCGCATCCCCCCCATCTTTCTTTTAATAGATAATGCAATTATTCAAAATCTGATTTTAGAAGTTTTTCTATACAATAAGAGACTATATTACTATACCATTCTTGAGATTTTTTGTACTACTTCAATCTTAAGGAGTGTCCTACRAAGACGATATTATAAAGTTGTATTTTTCAAACGAGAACCCCAATTTCAAATGTAAATTATGCACTTCTAAATATGTGTACTAAGAATAATTTATCGTAGATGTTTGATATTATGATATATGGGTTTGAAAGAAATAACTCAGTCCGACACTTCTAATCCGTAGTATAAACATTTCAAGACCTGAAAAAATACTCGGTGGAATTTCGAGTTATATTTACGTCAAAATTTCCAGAAAAATTATCAGGTGAGGAGGAGCGTTCTCCTTTGAAAAACAGAATTTTGTATCGCTACATGACATTCCCTTAGTCGTAGAACAAAAAAATCTCAAGATTTCAAAAATATGGAGCTTTGGTGTGTTTGAAAAATACCAAAATCTGAATAAATTCGTGATTAATTGAAAAAACTGGGGGTGACCGTGCTCAGCGTATCACCTTGTATAATAAATATTATTATCTGCATGTACACACACACACACACACGAGCAAACGCAACTATTACTACGACTCTACTACTATTCGAHGACGGGGTGTTGGTGGAGCTGTCGAGGGGGGAAGGGGGGGAGAGAAAAAGTGCGTGAGTCGCGTGCGTGTGTGTGCACCGCCGCCGCCGCCGCCGCCGCCGACCAACCCGTTTTTTTTCGGGAGAGAGAGTGCGTGTGCGTGCGAACGATACGTGGTCGCAACGTGCGTACGGGCGGCGGGGTGGGAGAGAGAGTGCGAGAGAGTGCGCGGCGGTGACGTTGCGCCGGAGAGTTTGTGCGAGCGGGAGAGAGTGCACGTGAATGCGTGCGTATACGAGTGCGGCGGCACATTATTATACGCGCGCGCGCTGCTCGCCGAAAGAGAGTTGCATTTATTCGGGCGCACCCTGTCGCCGGCGTTACAACCACCGCACTGCACACGCACGTCGCTCGCACACACCAACACACGTCACGCACACCGACAGTCGGCCCGGAGTCGAAGACACGACCGATACGCGTATACGGCCCCCGCCGCGAACGTCTTGCGACTCTCTCTTTCTATCTTTCACCACTTTCGTCGCTGTTGTTAAACGTATTTTATATTTTAATCGTATTTATTATAACAATATCATAGACAATTTTTATTTAACTAGATAATATAATTTATTATTTTTTTTTCTCTTATATTATTCTACTAAAACACTAAAACGAGAAAGAAAAAAAGTTGTTGATGTATAAAAATTATATGTCATAAAAGTTGTTCGTTTTTTTTTTTTCAATTTTTTAAAGTTTATCGTCGACTTATTTAGTATAATATTTCGTTTGTGTACACAATTCGCGTCGAATCGTCTGCTCGGGAGTGTGCTGGATGGGAAATCTGCAGTGGTCTTCSGGCTGACCCAGGAAATGTATCCTGGTACGTATTTACAAGTTCTAATTGGATTTTATTACACACACTTTGTATATTAATAAATCGTGTCGTAGTTACGATTAATTTATACTTTATACTGTGCATGCGGGTCTTATTATAGCCACTTGACGGGGTTGGCGAAATGTTCCCCGCCAAATATTAATTATGGAAATCACCGGATACCGCGGGTTGCATTTACTTTATTCAAATATTCGCTTATGCAAATAAACCGGTTAACCCTAATAATGTACCCTATACGGGTCACAGAAAATTTCTCGCGTTCCCATGTCCCGTATGAGAACCGTTTTTTTACTTGCAGCTGATGGTTTGCTATATTTTATATTGTCTCTTTAAACCAACGGTCTTGTAGACTGTCTCTGATTTTKAATACAGAGTAAAGTTGTAGTAAATCAACGGCTTAAAGTGATTCATATTTTTATAATACATAATCAAGCAGGGACTGCGACTTCCTACTGGACTATTTTTGTGTTTTCGTAAGCTTTTAAACAAATAATAGATATTTTCAAGAAAAAATTKTATTTTTCGAATACTGTCGTTTTATAAATAATCAGTGTAATCGGCAATCGACTGTCTGTCAAACGGTATTCTATGTTTACGACCTTTACACCTGTCATATGCTCAACACCTGTTAGCATTTACCTCACTTTAAGAAAATTTTGCTTGTATACAAAATTTGATTTTTGATCTAAATTTGAGAACTTAATTGATTTTTTGTACAGTTTATTGTTAATTATTAATTTTACAATACTAATTGTATTTCAATAAGTGGTATAGGAAATAAAACTAATAAAATGCTATCCATATTTTAAAATGATAAAATATTACGAAGACACGTATATGATCAGGTTCCGGTGATGAATTTCTTGGTGTGGAATCATCGGAAAGAAAATTATTTTTTTGCGATATTAGTGATATTCACTGGAAAAGGTGTGTTTCCAACCCCTCCGCACCTAATTTTCGACTGCCTCCTCATCGCTATCCTCGGTTAACCGTGCGCACTTCCTATTTCCCACCGATTGCGATGACGAGTATTATACAATTATATTATACTTGTTAGCTGCTTTTATATAACCAAACCATAAATACGAATATAAAATTAAAAAAAAAAATACTTATACCAGAATAGGGCGAATAATAATTTTATGTTAAAAATAATTACAATTCAAGTAATTTGCCGCCTATCATAGTACATGGTTGTTGGTTTGATGATAAATTTAAATTGGCGAAATATTCAAACTCTAGAATATTAAAATAATTATCTGCTTCTACGAATAATTGATTTTTGACACACTAAGATAACGAAATGGCGATTACGAGCATGGCGGGTGTGGGTGTAGGTACTTTAATTTTTAGGATAAAATAATATTTTTTCAATAGAGATTATTCCAACGACAAAAAAAATATCGCAGATACTTAGTAATTATTATATTTTTATGTGTTCTATAGTCCATTGCCGTTTGTTTTTAATGTGTTATAATGTAGGTACATATTGTGTATGTCAAAATGGATCATGGCTTATAAATAGGTAAAAACGCGTCTCTTCATTGTATTTAACTGCAACTATAAAGTACGGATTTTTTTTTTTTTTTGAAATAACTGATTTGTTATTCTTCATAAATAATTTATAACATATAGCATATAATTATTATTGTATCTTTGTATCTATATTTCAAATTTGTTGTCATCTCCTATTTTCAAAAGTATATAAGTATTCTTATTCATTTTCGGCCTCTGAGTGAAAAATATTTCCGGTTTACTTGAAATGTCCTCAACATCTTATTGGTAATTGAAGGTACGGCATTACTCGTTGAATTCTAAATTTACGTTGCCATTGTAGCTTTCAATTATCCTTTCATATTATGAACATTATCGTATTATTTACTATTGATTTAAAATTTAATTCATCGCCAAAAATATACCATAATACCTATATCCCGAAAAATTATATTAGGAAAAAAATTTATTTTGTTTCATCAAAGTAGTTTTTTATCAACTTCATACAATTCCTTAATTCTAATTTTAGTTTATTTTATTTTATATTTCAAAATAATTTGTTAAATTATCATTACAACTAAATTGTAAGGATATTTTGTCTTACAAAGTTTTTAATGGGTTAATTTTAATATGCTCATAAAATAATAAAATAAAATATAATAAAATGCATAAAAAAATTAAGTGTGGTTCAACTTTTTAACATTTAATTAGTAACAGTATAAAACCAAGTTACATATAACACTTTGATCAATTTAATAATTTACTGACATGCGATTGATACTTATTCATATTTAAGGGACAATTAACTCAACATTGAGTAATTAAAAATCAATTAACAAAAAATGTACAGCGATTGTTTATGCTTTATGCATCAAGAAAACACAAAACCAAAATCATGAACTATTTTATACTTTTATTTTATAGATAGTAGCAAATAATGATAATATCTTAACATTTTGAAATACTTAATGTACCTACATGGATAATTATTGAATGGATATTATTTCAAGTTAGATWACTAATGAAAGTTTTTGGTTCATTTTCTTGAAAACACTTAGAAACGGGCTTAACTTAAAATTGAATTGTCCCTACTCAAGAATTGTTGTTACGGCGGTTGAAAGTTTTCTGTTTACATTTGTCATCAATTTAATTACGGATCGATATTTACAAAACGTTTTGAGTATATAGGGGTGACCATAAAAACTCGTCGATTGGCAAAGTCAACTAAAATGAAGCCATCGGGATACTCGGTGGACATATCTACCTCCATATGTCAAAACACGACATATTTTGTAAACTACAAATAAGATTATTTTTTGAATTATGTGGTACCGCGCCCACAACGAAAACAAAAGAAAAAATAATACTAAAATAACAAAAAACATAATGTATGATAATCATAAAGTACCGTTTAATAACTGAATACACATTAGTTTACAAAAATGATTTATTTGATTATTATTATTTTTGGCAAGGGTTTATGGTGTTTCCAGACAACGGGTGAGCAGGTAAAAATGGGAAAGACATCACCCTCTGTTTCGCCAGACCCACGTTCCAGACACGATTGTCGTGTTTCGCAATTTTTTTTACACACGCTGATGTCTACCTACTTAAAACGTGAAAAATAGTTGCCACTGGTTGTGATGGGTGGGAGGGGTCCGTCTGGTCTGGCGGACTGTACCTAAAATACCGTGTCCCGTTCGAGGGTTGTTATGTCTGGGGCCGATTCCGTATTCGCGATGCCGTTATTGTATAAAAAACGTTTTGTTATTATGCGGGCGTGTGTGTATACAGAGTGTTTCAATTGCTTGTTGAATTAGTTTCTTGGATTTAAATAAAAATACGTTGGTTTTTCAATCATTATAAAATCATATAAAAGTATAGTTTAGGTATAATGATATTATTAGATATTAATGTATTTTAAATATTTAAATATTGAATATAATTCGTTCCTTCAAGTATCGGCCCCTTTGCCACGTTTGCACTGAATGCATATAGGTAATTTAAAAGGTTTAGAATTACATATATATGCCATATTAATTATCTTATAACTTAAGTTAAATCTTCCTGATCATTTTGTGAAATAATTAATACGTCATATAATATTTCTAGTCAATAAATTAATATCATTATATTTTAATCAGTCTGTATATTTATTTGCGAGTTTGTAATGTTACATTTTTGTTGCGTGGGAGTTGGTGGTCAGACTTTTGAAAAACAATTCAAATAAAAATAAAAATAATCAAAAATTATGGTATTTTTTTAATTATATTATATTATGAGAACATACTGTAGACAATTGGGGTTGTCGTTGTATACGGTTCATAGATATGGGGTAGACGAATGATGTTATGGTCTGTYGCTTATTCATTTTTTTTCAAATGTCAAACGATGTTAACCAAAACACAGGTGTCTTTTCTTTTATTTAACTATCATAATGAATTGTGTATTCTCTTTTCTCCATAACGGGAGATAAATTCAGACACATTTATGTTGGAATTTGCATTTTTTTTATTAGGTGAATCATCAGTTATTACTGTAAATGATTGAGGATTTATCAATGAATTGGCATTGTTTCATAACAAACATAGTTGGTTACGTTTTTATATAGTAAAATTTTAAATTAATTTGCAATGCAATGTAATTATATTTTTGTGAAATTATATTTTGTGATGCTTTTTGCTATTTTCGGAGTTTTTAAGCAATGAAAAAACAAAAGATAAACCAATTTACCTGTATTGACGTCGATATTTAGATTTATATTTCATAATATTTTATTGGTAAATTTTACTGCTTTTAATACATTGAATAAATAGTCTTCAAACAAGTTCATGAATCTTTTTTATACGTATACTCAGTGGCGTAACAATACATTTTTCATAAGGGGGGGGGGTCTGATTAACCATCTTAATTTGTATAAATAAGTATAGAAGTATATGTTTTTACCTAAAATACTTATACGTGACAAGAAGGGGAGGGTGGTCCTKGACCCAGGGTCCACCCTCCTGGTATGCTTATTGTATTTAGTGGATACTGTAYACAGATTGTAAATATTATCATTCTTAAAAATATAAATAGTAAAAATAAAAAGAGTAAATAACTGTAGTTAGCTGGAAGATAGTCTAAGAGTCGTTGTTATTGAATCCATACTTAAGTAGACCAATGCCTATTTATTTTTATTAAGAAAATAAATAATTTTTAATATGAAAATTAGTCACTTAAGATTACTAAATATTAGTTTATGTATGCAATAGATTAATAAAATCGTTAGAAGATATAACTAATTTATAAATTTATTTAATTTTTAGGTTTTTGAAAATTCAAATTGATGAACAGACACTAAATTATATTTTATCAAAATGACTAACAACCATTTGAATACGATTTCTGGACAAGATCAACAGTACTGTTTGCGATGGAACAATCATCAGACAAATCTAACAAATGTATTTGTTCAATTATTTCAATCTGAAGAATTTACCGATACTACRCTGTTTTGTGAGGGTGGACCACCTGTCAAATGTCATAAAATGGTATTGGCTGCATGTTCGTCATACTTTCAGTCAGTATTTGCTGAGGTACCTGGTAAACATTCTGCAGTTGTACTGAAAGATGTTGGCCATTCTGAAATGAAAGCCATACTTGACTATATGTACAAAGGTGAAGTGAATATTGCTCATGATCAATTAGCCGCTTTGCTTAAGGTCGCTGAAATGCTTAAAGTTAAAGGACTCGTTCAAGACAATACATATCAACCACAAAGTGCAACTCCTGCCGTTGACGAAGACCGAAATATAATAAGTACTTCGTCTCCAAATCACGTATCACCTGATGGAAATACGAGCGCATCCAAAGATCTCGCCATCAATATTAACAATAATAATGAGCACAATGATTCACCTCCGCATAGTACTGGTATTACCCATCAATCACCATTTTACAACAAAAACTATTATGGGAAATCACCACCATTAGTTGACCATAGACCTGGAAGAAGTAACGTTCCAATGTGGCCAATGCCTACCATGCAGTTGTCTTCAACACCAGTGACAAATGCAATGTTTGGTGGAAGTTATGATGCTATGGTTGCAGGACATCCGGGAATGTCACCATTGCGACGCAAGAAATTATCTAGCATGTTRATGGGTCGAGATACACCTATATTGAGAACTGTGCTTGGACAGGGACAAGCTGATTCCTCACAACAACTTGCTCTGCCATTATATGGTTCTGAAGCAATGGAACATYATAGACCACAGTCGAATGGATCTGAAAATAGCAGCCAATTTTCAAAGGTCAGTATCTAATTTATTATTTTCCTTAAATATATATTCAAAAATACAAAACTTAAATACTTAATACAATAAATGTATTGCAGATTAAAATTGAAGGATCAGAACCTCATTCTCCATATCCTCCTGATATGTCAATGAATGATGATGAAGAAATTATAAGGGTAAATATTTAAAATAAAAAATACATATATCTATTGGTATATTTAAAACTGTTAAATTTATAATTTTTGTGTACACAAATTTATTTTTGTTTTGGTTATTCAAATTATTTGTATTAAAATTAAAATTTCAAGAGTCGACGGTATACTTAGATTAAATCATTGTTAAATATTAAAWTTTTTTTTTAGATGGGAAAAATGAATAATTCATCCTCACCTCAATCAATGTATGGCGATTCAAAAAGTAATTATTTAATTAATTTACTTCTATTTTTAGCTTTAAAAAATATGTATGTGTTTTTTACCAAAATTGTGTGTAWATTAACATAAATTATGTTACTTTATTAAATAGGTGGTATTGTAACTCCAGGAATTGCAACTTATGTCCCATCTCATAAGCCTGAGTGGAAAAGATACAAACAGTATACACGGCAAGATATTATGTCTGCAATAGATGCTGTTCGAACTGGCATGAGTGCATTACAAGCTTCTCGAAAGTTTGGAGTTCCGTCTCGTACTCTTTATGATAAAGTGAAGAAACTGGGTATAACCACAAGCCGTCCATTTCGTAGATCAGGAGTAAACAATGGCAATCTCGGCTTCGCGTATGGATTAGGTCCAGGTACTAGYAGTGTTATGTTCTCAGGACAAATGTCCGGAGCTGAAGATGAATCGGGTCATTCTACAGCCATGGAACATGCAACTGCTGGTTTCTTACATCATGCTCTTGGATTATCTGGAGTGCCTATAAAATCAGATCAYGAAACTTCTAACAATGGGCATTCACCTCGTTCAGATAGAATGGATGATGGAGGCTCTCCTTGTAGCCCAGAACTGATCAAATATGCTGGACACAGAGAAGACACACAATCACCAACTCCGACAGAYAATGATGACCAAGCACAAGATTTATCAGTTTCTCGTAAATCTGAGTCATCAATGCAAGCAACACCTACATCTAGAGTTATTATGGCGCCTATTAGTCAAACGCCCTCTGTACCTATGTTAGCCGCTGGTAACGATGATAGGGACTGAAATGGTGGTTTACATTGGATGGGCAGTATGTGCAATCCGAATTCAATAATTGAATTTAACTGAAACCCAAATCTTAGGTATAGGCTATTTGAAGTCAAACCTATTTTAGCTTTAGTAATGTCATTTTAAAATTTGCGTTAAAGACATACCAGGGTTAATTGGTGCAGAAAA